TGGCCTAAAATAAGGAGACATGAATGTTGAGGATTTTCCAATGAGATTTAAGATGTGGTCGTGGTGGTAGTTCTAACGCCAGTGTATCAAAGCCAACGGCAAAAACCTCAACCCCAATATCCAATTACCCATCTACTGCTAGAAGTACTTCACCACAATTAGTACGGTGCTTCAATTGCTAGGGTTTCAAACATGTTTGAGCTTATTGCCCTAAAGTATAGATTGTGGCTCTGGTATAGGGGACATTCATCCTATGAAAGATGAATCCGTGGGAGAATAAGAATAGGCTATTTTTTATAATGATGTGGAGATTGTGTATGTTGAATCATAATAACATCTGAAGAATATACTACTTCGTCTGGTTCTAAAAGTCTCATTTACTTTTTGCGTGTTAACTTTTTAATATTAATTATTATATCAAACCGTAAGTATAAATTAAGAAAAAATGCAAAAATACTTTTATTAGTATCTTATAATACTAATAGAATGACATTTGAATGTGACCCTTAGAGGCAGACGGAGGGAGTATTTGATATCATCAAAAAAGATAATATGAAAGAATTTAATACATAAAACATAAAAATAAGAAGTGAAGATGATGCTAACCTCGAAGAGCTTAACAAAATTGGAACATCACAGAAATACCAAGTAGAGAGATATAAGGTGGCAATAATTCTATAAAAGATATACTCCAACAAGAGGCAGAACACAAGAACAAATCTGCGGCCAAGAAGACGAAGATAGTTGTGTAGAAAATAAACTGCAAAAAAGTGTAAAGAGATTAGTGTGTGTATGTTGAATGTGTCATCTCAGATATATATAGCTTTTTTAAAGGTGCACGGAAGGAAAAAAAAAATACATAGCATTAAGAAATACTTTTATTGGTTTTTCAAGTCTCTAAAGTATATATGTATATATATGGATACAAATTACGAACATTTTTAATAATATAAATAAATGTTGTAAGTGAGAATATATACTGAAGATGTTAAGTTTGGTGACATAAATTTGTTGCTCGATCTGTAGCATGTTAGTTTATGGCATGTTGCATGCCTAGACACCAAGTGTTAGAGTGAGAGTTGTTCATAAAATCAATTGTGATAATAAAGTTGCTTGTTTTTCATTTTAGTAAATCTCATAATAAATAATACTCCCTCCGTCCAACTAGAAAATATACATATTACAAAATAACTATATTATTAAATACTCTACTCTTTTTTCACAAATATCATTACTTTACATCTGTTAGTATATTTTTTATATATTGTTTTAGGTTAAAATATAATTTCTATTTTTCGCAAATATTCAAACATGGTATCAGAGCCTATTTTTCTTCTGAGATAGACATCCGCCAACGCCGGCGCGTGGCAGCTGCAGTCTGATTTTCTGCACGATTCTTTTGCACGCTCTATACTATTCTTGATTTTCTCGCTTCATAGTATGGCTCTTAATATAGATCGTGTAGACGCTTCCGGTATTACTGTTATTCTTTCTGGTGATAATCATGATTTGTGGGCTGAATCTATGAAGAGTTTCTTGATTGGTAAAAGATTATGGCGTTATGTTACTGGCGACTTTTTTGCACCGGTTGCTCCTGTTGTCACTTCTACGGCGCCCCTCAACAATAAGGATCTCACGGACTATCAGAATGCCTTGGATGAATAGGATAGTAAGAACCACATTATTCTTACTTGGATTCGGAATACCTCTTCCAAGTCCATTCAGTTTCAACTCCGCCGCATGGACACTGCCAATAAAGCTTGGGATTATTTGCAGCATCGATATCAGGCCACTGGAGGCATGCATTATTATCAGCTTATAGGATCATTGAATGCACTGCACATGACTCGCGCCAAGATATGAATGAATTCCTCTCTACTATACAGTATACGTGGGATCGCATTGATGAGGCCGACATACAGATTGAGCACTTTCGGTTGATTCAGCTCTTGATGAAGCTTGGTCCAGAATATAAGTTTGTGCGTGCTTCCTTGCTTCATCGTCATCCCTTGCTTTCCTTGAAGACAGTGATGAAGGAGATTTTGTTTGAGGACACCCGCCTCAAGATGCTCAAGGCTCCTACTTTTGTTTTGGCCTTGGTAATTCCCTCTTCTATTCCTCATCGCAGAGATAATCGCAAGGATGCCCGACCACCACAGTCTGATAAATGTCACAGTTGCCCGAATGCTTGTCATCTTTATATCTATTGCCTAAGGTTGAGTGCCACTATTGTCATAAGAAAGGCAACATCCGTCCGCATTGTCCCAAGAATCCCAAGGCTGGTCAGTCCTCTTCCGGCTCTTCCTCTGCTATTGTTGCTGCCACTAGCGTATCACAATCGCCTCAACCGCCTCCCACTCTTGAGGACCTACGTCACATGCTCACTCAGGTTTTATCAATTCATCCTTCATTAGCCTCGACATTAGGTAACAACACATGGTATATTGATTCTGCCTGTTGTAACCACATGACACCTGACCCTCGCCTTTTACATTCCTCCCAACCCGTCACCTCATCCCCTCCTATACTTAACGTTGATGGCACCTCCATGCACATTACCCATACTGGCCATATATCATCCGCCCACCTCGATGATGTTTATGTCATCCCCAAATTAGCCCTAAACGTTGTGTCTGTCGGTAAGTTAGTTGAGCAAGATTTTACTGTAATTTTTTCTTCTTCTGGTGTGCAGGTTCAGGACACGCAGTCAGATACTTGGGACGGGTCGCAAGACAGCCGCCTATTTGAGCTTGACTATCTTTGCCCTCGCCAGACACCATCTCTTTCCGCTGCAGTCTCTTCTTCCTCTTCCTATTACTGGCAGCTCAGACTTGGTCATGTCTCCCTATTTAAACTCAAGTCTCTTGCAAATATAAGTGTTTTAGGCACAGTTCGTTTTGAGTCTTTCGATTGCTTGCATTGTAAACTTGGAAAACAACCAGCTTTACATTTTTTGAATAACTTGTCTATTGCTAATAAACCTTTTTCGTTAGTACATTCTGACATCTGGGGGCCCTCTCATGTTGCTACTCTTACTAGGTTTCGTTACTTTATGCTTTTTATTGATGATTACTCTCGCTTTACTTGGATTTACTTTATGCGTAAGCGGTCTGAACTTGCTTCCATTTACTTTGCATTCGCTAAAATGGTGCAAATTCAGTTCTCATGTCCTATTCAGACTCTTCGCACTGACAATGCCCTCGAATATAATGGTTTTCGTCTTTCTTAGTTTTCTGTCCACCCAAGGTACTCTTCTCCAACGTTCTTGTCCCTACACATCTCAACAAAATGATAGGGCAGAGCGCAAGCATCGTCATATTTTAAACACAGTTCGAGCCATGCTGTTATCTGCCAGTTGTCCAGATCGGTTTTGGGGCGAGGCTGCTCTTACTGTTGTTTATAATATTAACTGCTTACCCTCCTCTGTCTTTCAGGATACCACACCTTTTGAGAGGCTCTTCCGTCAGGTACCTGATTACTCTCATCTTCATCCTTTTGATTGTGTCTGCTTAGTTCATCTTCCTCTTCATAAACGTAACAAATTAGAACCACGCACCCGTCTATGTTGTTTTCTTGGGTATGGAATAGAATATAAAGGTTATCAATGTTAGGATCCTGTGTCAAATCGTCTATGTATCTCTCGGGATGTTACTTTTTGGGAGCATAAGTTCTTTTCCTTTGAGTCTAAATTTTAGATTCCCTTTGAGTCAGAGTCCGCGTTCTTTGTTCTGGATTTCTCTCTTCTTTCTGCAGGTACCGAAATCCCGTATGTTCCTGTTCTGGATTCCTCTCCTCATCCTGCAGGTCCCGAACACCCATCCGTTCATGTTATGGATTCCTCTCCTCCTTCTGCAGGTCCCGCACCCCCGTCCGTTCCTGCTGGTCTATCTGATGTTGATCCTTCCCCACCAGCTGACCCTCCTGCACCTCCTGAGTCTGTGCCCGACCCTCCGGAAATTTCAGTTCATGCCACCAATGATCGGCGACCCACCCGTGTAAGTCGTCCTCCTTCTCATCTACTTGATTATCATTGTTTTTCTGTCATTTTATCTCACCATGAACCCAGGACCTTTTGTGAGGCAAACTGTGATCCCTTGTGGCGCGATGTTATGTCTAAGGAATTGCAGGCTCTTGAGAAGACCAGAACGTGGGATATCGTCGATCTCCCTCCTAGCAAGAAACCTATTAGTTGTAAATGGGTGTACAAAATCAAAACTCACTACAATGGTTCTGTTGAGCGCTACAAGGCTCGCCTTGTAGCCAGAGATTTTTCACAGGAGTATGGTATTGATTATGATGAGACATTTGCACCAGTTGCTCATTTGACATCTGTCCGTTGTCTTCTTGTTGTTGTTTTTGTTCAACGTTGGAAATTATTACAGTTGGATGTGAAGAATGTGTTTCTTCATGGAGATTTGTCTGAGGAAGTCTACATGACCCCTCCACTTGGCTTAGATTTTTCAGGGAAGGTATGTCAGCTGCGCCTTGCCCTTTATGGACTGAAGCAAGCGCCCCGAGCTTGGTTCGCCAAGTTTAGGGTTGCGCTCATTCAGTATGGTTTTTCTGCATCTCCCTATGACTCTGCTCTCTTTATTCGTCGTTGTCCTGCGGGGATCATTATTCTCTTGTTGTATATGGATGACATGGTTATTACCGGCGACGATACTTCTGGTATATCCGATCTACAGACCTACCTTCATCGACACTTTGACATGAAGAGTCCTGGTCAGCTCCGCTATTTTCTTGGACTTGAGATTTTTTACGCTCCAGATGGCATATATCCATCTCAGGCGAAATATCCATCTGATCTCATATATTGGTCAGGTTTGACTGATAGCCAGATTGCATCCACCCCTCTCGAGGGGAACTACCTACTTGCTCATTTCGACGGCACTCCACTAGAGGATCCCTCCCGCTATCGGCAGTTAGTGGGACTCCTGATATACTTGACGGTCACTCGCCCTGACATAGCTCATGCGGTTCATGTTGTTGCTTAGTTCATGACTAATCCCCGGACAGTTCACTATGCTACTGTGTTGCGCATCCTTCGTTATGTCAAAGGAACACTCCTACACGGTCTTCATTTTTCTGTTGTCACTCCATTGGTTCTTGCAGGTTTCTCTGATGCTGATTGGGCAGGTGATCCGACTGATCGTCGCTCTATCACAGGTTATTGTTTTTTTCTTGGAAGTTCCCTTGTTTCTTGGCGCATCAAGAAACAAACTCTTGTTTCTCGCTCCAGTGCAGAGTCTGAGTATCATGCTCTTGCGGATTCAACTTCAGAGCTCCTTTGGCTTCGTCGGCTTCTTTCTGATCTCGGGGTTCCTCAGCCTTCTTCCACTTCCTTCCATTGTGACAGCACGAGCGCAATTCAGATATCTCGTAATGATGTCTTTCACGAGCGCACCAAGCATATTGAGATTGATTGTCACTTTGTTTGTCAGCGTGTTCGTGCAGGCACTGTTCATCTATCTTCTGTTTCTTCCGAGGATCAGACTGCGGATATCTTCGCTAAGTCTTTCTTCCTAGGCCGGTTCTTTACATTATTGAGCAAAGTCAAGTTGGTTTCTACTTTACCACCTTGAGTTTGAGGGGAGGGAGGGGGTATTAGCATATTTTTTATATATTATTTTATGTTAAAATATAATTTCTATTTTTCGCAAATATTCAAACATCATATATACTTCTTACTTAAGAGCGAGGGAATATATTTATGGTAAAATATATTAATGTAATATATAGTTAATAAATGTAAATTAATTTAATTAATCAATTTTATAACATATACATGATCCACTCAAAATCCTCTTTAATTTTATCTTTCTCCTTAGTATTTACATTTAAAAATTTTTATCTTTTATAAAATTAGTTTATGTTAATCATAAATAAATAAGTATCTATTTTATCTATTTGTATTATAGTATGAAATTTTATTATCTAAAAAATAGTATTCATATTATATATATTTTATTGAGAATTATTTTTAAAATATTTAAATATATATTCTAATTTTTTAACAATATATATTAATTATTATCTTAAAATAACTAATAATACCACTTATATAAGAAGATAATAATATTATAATTTATCATTATTAACTAATTATATATTATTAACTTAAATATTGTTATTTTCGGATCAAATGTATAGTTTGAAAGGGGACGGAAGGAAACAGTAAACTTAGAGAATGTGTTTACATAACTTGATATTTGGTATGTCATGGAGAATTGTGTCAAAATATAAAAATATTCTTATATTTGTATAATTTTTTGTATAAATATCTTTTTATTAGTATTATATGATACTAATAAAAGTATTTTTGTAATTTTTTTTAATTGTACTACGTTTTGATATAATAATTAATATTTAAGTTGAATATTTGACTTTATGAGTTGAATATTTGACTTTTTGAGTTGATATAATAATTAATATTCACAAAAAGTAAATGAAACCATGGAGGTAGTATTATTTTAAGTTGAATATTTAATTTTTTGTAGAGAGTATTTCAAAAAAAAATTTCCTTACAATTTTTTTAAAAATATTTTTTTATTGTTTATTATTATTTACGGGAATCGCAATTAAAAAATTAGGTTGGGGGAAACCTTTTTATGCGCAGGGGGAAACTTTTTTTATGCAAAATAAATGTTTTGATAGTATCTCCCATTATATCGTATTGTTTCTAGAAATAAAACCACTGTAAGTGATACCTCAATAGTCGAAGCTCTACTGAACAAATCAAGATAGGAACTGGAAAGACTTAAAAGGAGAGAGATAACTTGAAAAAAACATGCTCGAAAAGAGAATTGAAGGGAAGAAGATGCTTGTTGGTGTTTCTAGATGCAAATATTTAGGTATTTGATATTCGAATCGAACCAAACAAATACCCGAAATCGCGAACCGTATTCGAATCGAAAATTTCAGTTAACCGAAAATATTTGTAAATTTGCAAATAATTCGAATCGAATCGAAATTTAAATAATAATATAAGTTTTAATTTAATAAAATATTTGCAAATATTTCAAATATATGAATCGAAACCAAACCGAATATAATTATTAATATAAATTTTAAAATATAATAATATAAATATATTCGGTTCGGTTAACCAAACCAAAAAAAATATTAAAAACTAAAATCGAACCGAACCAAATAAATATCAAATATAAAATATTTGTATTCTTCGGCGATTCGGTTCGGTTCTGCAACTCTGGTCCAGGTTCAAATCAGATCGAGTTCATTAATTGCTCAATAATCACCGGTGACAGACAGCAAATAACAACTGCTGGATAAAGGAGGTAAATAACAGTGAAGAAAGTGCAGTGCAGAAGTCACATCAAAGTTACGATAAAACACAGTTCCAATCAATTGGATTTACTATATTATCTCGCCGTCAAAATACTCTTTTTATTATTTTCGATTGTCTAATTTTAAAGAATCTATTTTTAATTTTTAAAAAAATAATAATTATATCCTAATATCGAAATATTTACTTAAATTATAAACATACTTTTACACGTACAATTATTTTAAGCAAAAAATCAGGATCCTTTCAAGAAGGACGGAGGGAGTATATGATAGTGCTGCCCAAGTTTTTTCAACTAAACTTGTATAATTAGTTTCTTGCAAATCTCAGTTGATGAGATAAAGATAAGATATTCCTATAACGAAGTAAAAGTGATGTACTAATCTAGAGAAAAAGAAAGCAATTACATATATATATATATATATATATTGCAGACGCACACAAAAATGAGAATTGATTGGTAATGTAGGGATGGATATACAAACCTGATATGCAGTTTTTGAGCAATATGTCTATACGAAGAAGATTTGAATTTGAATTTGAATTTGAATTTGAATTTGAATTTGAATTTGATGAATCTGAAGAGAAGAAGATGAAGAAGAAATAATTGAGAGTTAGCTACCTGTATGTGTAGAAGAGAAAGACAAGACAAGAGAGTGAATTAATTAAGGCAAAATTGTCTAAAACTCTATTGTAATTTCGAAAAAATCCCTATTTATTTTAAAAATTGCATAAAACATCTTTATACTTTAAAAAATATTGCATGAAACCCCTCTGTGATTCCGAGACTCAGTATAAATATTCAATTTACTTAAAAAAATTTCATGACGCTCTCTTATACTTTAAAAAATATCGCATGAAATCATGTTCCCATCACACAACGGAGGTTTCATGGGGGTGGGATTTCATGGAACGTTTTTCAAAATATAGGGGAGTACCATGCAATTTTTAAAGTACAAAAAAATTTTACGCAAAATTTCAAAATCACGGAGGAGTTATGAGCCATTTTACCATTAATTAATAATAAACTAGCAATGATGATGGTGAAGCGTACGTGAATATGGTATATATATATATATATATTCTTTCTTCTGACCATGGATGAATGCATCATCGTGGAGATGTCTCCTTGGCCGGGAAATGCGCAGATTACCATCTACTGCTCTTTAATTTGCTTTGCTGGAAGACTACTTTAAAATATGAGTACAACTTGGTGATATGGTCAAGTGTACATATGGTATCCGACGGTTTGAATTTTGAATTATGATTTGATATAAATATGTGTTAATGTTATTGTAAATGTAAAATTAATTTTTAGTATGATATAAAAAAATAAAAATAAATAATAAATATTTCATTTGGTATTTTTGAAAAAAAAAATCATAAATCCTAAAAACCGGGGAGAATCTTTCATAGGAACAAATCCCTGTAGAACGATTTTCATAAATATTATTAAAAATATATAATATATACATTAACACAATATATAATATATCATTTTCACAATTCTCTATACTTAAATAAAATAACACATTTATCCAAAAATACAAAATACACTGACCTACTACGTTAGATGCTTAATTCTGACCACTTCCGCCAATCAACTAACACATACTAATTAATACTAATTGTTTGTCCATGAGATCAGATTTACTATTCATTTATTTTTTAATATATATATATATATTAAATTTAGAATTTTTATTTTTTTAATATATTATATTAAACATTTAATTATTAAATAAAGAAACTGTTTTAATCATATTTTTATTGTTTATAATCCCAAATTCAGTTTTAATTAAACCACAATGAAGACTGAAAATATATTACTACTATTTTAATTTGAATTATTCTAATTTTTCTTTACTATTATATATATTTGTTTTTGTTTATAAGGTGGGAATTTGACGATTGCGCTCTGGGTAAATCTAGGCTGAACCTTATAATCTGGAAGATCTAAAGACGTCAAAATTTGAACCCATAATCTCACGGTCACGAAATCATCCCTTACGGGACTACTATTATATATAATTAATATTATAGAAAATGTGTCTAGTTTTCTATAAAAACGAATGCTATCAAAGTTCTCAACTACCAACCAGATACACAAATGCTCAACAGTTACGGTGATAAATTTTAAAATTGAACATCAAATTGACAGCATATTATATGCTATAAAAAAAAAAAAGACAATATTACTAATATAAATAATATATTATTTATATTAAAATAATACAAATATAATACATAAATTAATAGTCTATAATATAATCCTATATAATATACTCTTACACAACATTATTTAAATATAAATAAATAACATCCTATTTTTTAATTACAGTTTGCATATGCCGGTGAAAGAAAGCACATGCTATCAACAAGTTCAGCATCATAATCTTTTGGTTTTATATTGTCTATTCCCCCACTAGGTTTATTTTAGTAGACTTTGACTTTATGTTTGAATTATATATTATATATATGTTTTATATTATTGTTTAATAATATTTTTTTTATCGGAAATTAAATTGTTTAATAATATTTTTTTATCGGAAATTAAATTTTATGTTTTGTAAGAGGTATTAGTTGTGCATGTTGATATATATATATATATTATAACGTTGAAGCACAACTGTAAATTTTTTAGTATACTCGCACTAAATTTTCAATTAAACTTAATAATTTGTAAATTATATCTGATAAAACAAATTACATTAGATGAATCATATGTAATTTTGAAATATATATTAATACATATATTTGAAAAGCTTGAATGATATGATTGTTGAACGTTTAATGTATACTAAGAAAGAAAATTTAATGTGATATTTTTCGAGTATACTTGAATGGCAAATTTTTTAAAATTACAAGAATTTAGGAATTTAATGTGATATTTTATGAGATAAAATATATATTTAATGTATTTTTCTAAAAACAATTATTGTTAATTAATAGTACAAAACTTTTCAAAATTATGTATGTAAACAGAGCCTAAATTCATTATATAAAAATAATTATTATACATTAAAGTAAAATAATTAATTTAAATGTAAAATATTTTTAGGATATATAATCTTATTTTAAGTCATGTATGTTGCACCCCTTGGTAAAATATGTGTAAAAATAATCATATATCTAATTCATAGTTTCTAAAAATAGCATTTGGTCGTGAAATATCATCACTTGCGCTATTATGGCCGCGCCAAGGTTGATGCGCACCGATCTTGTAGCAAATTATCTCTCTAAAGGTTAGAAAATTATTATAATGCCAGAATATCAAAT